CCAATCTGATCATCTGCAGTTGTAATAGATGTATGAGTCTCTTGTAAAAAGACAACATCTGCCTGTAGTCTTTTAAGCTGGTTTAAAATTCCTAATCTTTTTTGCTGAGTACTGGTTCCATTGACATTCCAAGTCACAAACCTTAATGTGCCCATAGTTGTGCATGAGTAGCTAAAGCTGACCAGCGCATGTCACCATACAGACAAACAGATCCAACTAAAGTCAGAGTTTTTGCTTGAGATTGCCTGTTTAGATGTTTAGAAACACACAGTGATGTTTGAAGTGGAAAGATACAAGAATATTGAGTAGAAGCTGGGTGTGAAATAATTTGAAAGATATAAAGTTCTATGGTGTGTGTGCGTGTGTGTGCGCGTGTTTGTGTTTTGGTGTGCTTGTGTGTAAATGTTTGTTGGGTGGTAAAGAAGAGAAAAAGACTGATGAAGTGATGTGGTAACAGATAAACATAAACGAGAAAATAGTAAAAATAAAAAAAAAGGAAGAGAGGAAAAAAGCAAACAAACAAACAAAAAAAACGAATAGCTAAATGGACTATACTTATATACCCCCTTTCTTTCTTATCAAGATGCTCAAAGCTCTACAACACAATCTCTGCCCTCATTTACCCATACAGCACTCTACTAGATACATACAAAGATTAATCAGTGCTTTGGATCACATTCATACACTGATGGGACACGGAGGCAATGAGGGGTTCAGTGTCTTGCCTAGGGACACTTCAATATGTGACTGCTGGTGCAATCGAACCCCCAACTCTCCCACAGGAGGACGACTGCTCTAACCACTCAGACACAGCTGCCCTAATTCCTTGGCAAGTAGCTAAAATTTACATAACATCCTCTCAGTCCATCCTGATGCGTGCTTAATACTCCAGTTAAATCTAGCAAAGTTGAGTCAGATCCTCGGGATGGATTCTTCTTTGCTGAAACATTTCATCTTTTATTTAAAAGACGTCTTCAATCTGAGGAGCTGCAACAAACCCAGTCTGCAGTATAAGCAGCACCTTAGCATAATGGTGCAAAGGTGCTGCTTATAAGACTGTTTATTTGCAGCTCCTCAGACTAAAGATGTCCATCCACCCATTATCTTTTACCCGCTTCTTCCATTTTGGGTCATGGGGGTCGCCGGTGCCCATGTCCAGCAATCACTGTGCGAGGGGCGGGGTACACCCTGGACAGGTCCATCACAGGGCGACTGAAGTTGCATTTTGGATAAAAGATTAAACATTTGTAAAAAGAAGAATCCATCCACAGGACCTGACTCAACCTTGGTAGATCATTTTATTCCATTCAAACCTACAAATGCTCACCACATTTCCACCCTATTTACAGAACACAAATGTTCATAATTCATATAATACTTTGTATATAAATAGTTTACAACATAGAAATATTTATTCATTATTGTTAATAGTATAGAAAACATTTTAATAGGATGTTCTAAATTATCTTTGTGGGAATAGAATTTGAGCAACATATCTATCAGCTACACCTGTTTTGCATGTCAGTGAAAAGAAGAGACAGGAAGCTATTTTCAACAAATTAATGTTAACGCCTATGTCAAGGGAATGTGTTTTATTTGCACTCACCATGCTCCATAATTTTACTATTTACTACGATTAATGTGTTTTATGCACTGCTCTTTTACTGTTATTTTGAACAATATTAAAATGTTCCATGATCCTTACTCTATGTAATAAGCAGGTTTTATTGATATGATTACAGTGGTGTAAATTCGGAGAGTCAATGGAAGCAGTCTGGCTCCCAGATTTCCTCCTGCTTCTGACTGCAGATGGTTTCTGATAAAACTGGACTGGGCGGGGAGGGGCTGGCCGCTGGACGTTTTCTATAAAACAGATTTGTTTTTTTCTATTCAGGAAGTCAGAGTGGGTCAGAGCCTCAGAAAGGTGAAAGCATTGACTTATGAATACATCATGATCTTCTGTGATTGCTGACTGCAGGGGTGATTCTAGAATCTGACCTTTAGGGGGTGCTTAGCCCCCTGGGCTGACAATGGCTCTTGGGCTGAACAACACAGTTACCACTGGCATCAGAAGCATTTGTAATGTTGGGGGGGGGGCACACTGGTGGGTGGGTTCTGGGGATTCTCCCCCAGAAAAATTTGAATAAAGTAGATGCCATTTCCTGCATTATGGTGTATTTTAACAGGTTGTTAAACATCTAGTTTTACCTACATAAGTAAACACTTGATTCAATAACTATTTTAGAGATAATGACACAACAAGAAGTAGCCTGACCAACAGCTGTCCTTGTGTGAGTAGAGCATGCTCCACTTCTCGCACACATCCTAGCCACAGTCTTAGAAACGTAGTGTAGCCCAAGTTAACGTTTAGCCAATATGAAACAATAATAATAATCACTCCTACTAATGGCCTAGCATAAAGCAATATGAACATCCATCGTGTTTAGTAGTAGCTTAAAATATCAATTTAAAACTCCAGTAACGGTACCCAGTTGTAGGGTCAAGAAGTAAACGTAGCATTAACACAGTGTGAACAACATTCAGGAATTGTTTCTATAAGAACCATTATCAAATATTTTAATAGGTTCCATTTTAACTTTAATAGCCATATCTTTACATTTTGCTGCTGGGAACAACAACACTGAGATGCACTGTCTAACGTCTGCATAACACTCATACGTTTTTTGTTTTTTTTTCTCCTTCTTTCGGCTGCTCCCTTCTTCAGGGGTCACCACAGTAAACTAACTCACACGAAGACTTGGCGATTATTTTTATGCCGGATGCCCTTCCTGACACAACCACAGACCTCTGTGTGGAGCAGAGAGCTGCTATCTAGGATGCTCGAGGGAGCAGTTGGTGGGGGTTAAGGGCCTTGCTAAAGGGCCCAGAGTGGGGCAATTGAGGGTGGAGACAGTTGTGGGTGCTTCATCAATCCCACCCACATTTTGATGTTGTCGGTACCGGGAGTTGAACCAGCGATCTTCCGATCACAGACCCACCTTCTCTAACCTCTGCACCACCCCTCCCTCTGCAGAACACTCAAATGTATTTGAATTAAATGAGGGGGTCGCGGAGGTGCCAATAATTGGCATGATGCATGATGCAAATGGTAAGATCACTCCACCCACCTGGAAATGTAACTCAGAGTGTGCTAAGATCCGACAAACAAACAACATAGCTGTAATGGTGGAGGTAATGAAGCTCACAATGAGGCATTAAGTGGCGTTTATCTTCAGGACAAATTGTGGTCGCCGATTGGTCAGTTGCTGATATGTCTTCTGGATTGATTGACAGGTGGCATTAAAGAGCTGACTAGTGCAAAAAAAAAAAAAATATATATATATATATATATATATATAAAAATCATAGATTTTATTGGCCCGTTTAAGACTGTCATGATTTATTCCATATTTATCCAAAATTTATTCAATATTTTGGTGAATTTAAGGTCTGAGAACTGAACAACAAAAAAGGTTGAATCATGTCATCTGGACTTCGTTTTTTTGTTAAAAAAGAAACGTTTCGCCCCTCATCCAAGAGGCTTCG